GGGGGGGGGGGGTGACTACAAACATTAGTATCTGAGCAGTCCCTTGAAACAAAGGTATAGATGAAATGAAAGTGTGTGCTTCTCATTTCCCTTACATCTAGCCATCCAGATCTGGGGAAAAAACAAAAAATTCTTTCCCATTCCTGGGATTTCTTATAGGCTTTTTTTTCTTTTACCTTCTCATTGACATCTGTAGCCTTCAAAACCACCTCTTCCATTATCAGCCTACAGGCCTCTTCAACAAATTTTTCTCCTGCTCTTGCATCTGTTGTGGGGCCATTTAGTATGACCCCATCCACCAGAACAGCGCTCTTCTTAGTTGGAACCATCTCTTGTTGACCAGTATCTCCTGGAAGCACACAAACAAATTACGTTTGAGAGAGAATCTCATTAGACCACAACAAAACACAGACTAAAAAGTGAATCGCCATCCCAGCTTCAAATGTCATGCCCTATTTTAATACATTTGCAGCATTGAAGCTGAGAGTTTCTTACATGGTGCCCAATAATAGAGACAAGGAAAGAAACTCCTAGGGTCCATTCCTGCAGCATCTTGCTTAGCATCAGGGAGTGCGGAGGAGCTCAAAAAATGTCAATTCAACACATTCTACTCACTCTCACACCTTTCAAACATATGTACGAAAGATCTGGGTAAACACAGGCCCATGTCTATCTCATGAACACACCCTCTCATAATTTTTTAAGGATTGCCATATATTTCCTTTTAATAAGTCATTGCCAAAGAAGAAAAAACAATACCAAAATGTCACTTTTCTTAACTTTCCATCTTAAGCTTATGTTTCAATGGCCCTGCATTTCATAGACAATGCCCTGTCCCTGAGAGCCCCTCCCTAAATCTCCTGGGCCATTTCCTACTGAAAGGGGAAAAGGGTTTGCAGAGCAAGAGGGTTTGCATGAACGTCTGTAGCCCTCTAAGCTTCTCAAACTCGCACTTTAGGAGGAAGGATGGAACAGAGCATCTTTAGGACAGCACAACTGCTGGCCAGTGACCAAGGCTGAAAGCCAGCATGGGAATTTACACCTGAGAGTCAAGGCTAGCCCTCCACAAAAATAATTTTGGCAACTGAATCCAGGTATTCAACCAGTGTCTGCTACAAGCTTTAATTTGACTGTTTTCTCTTTTTCTAATTAGCATCTCTCTCCTCTTTTTCAGGTTCATGTGCATTTAGTTGTGGAAAGTGAGAGAAACAAATTTTTGAAAGTATTTTTCAACACTGCACCTGCCGCAGTGCCTTACTTATACTTTGTAAAACCGCCTTAAATATGCAGAGGGTCTAAGGGTATTTCAAATATTTTTATACTTATTGAGGGCTCCAAGAGTATTAACATTTATTGTGTTGCTGAGTCTGTCTTCTCCTCAACATTCAATGTTTTGATAAGATGCTGTGGTTTAGAAACCCTTTCATTCTATTGCTGGCAAACGTAAATGGGGTCCAGGGAGGCAGATGGAGATGCCACGGGACCGGCCCCCGACTGGGGAGAGGTGGGCTCTGCAGACAGAGATCAACCTTTCACCCTGGCCCTGGAGGGTGAACCATCCAGAGCTCCGAGGCCGCCTTTCCCTCCCACCCTTCACGTTCACTTTTCTTTCACTTGAAAGGATGAATTTAACATGGTTTAGGGCCCAATGTCGAAGCAGTGGAATAGAGCTTTAGACTGAAATGCTTTATACCTAAAGGCACTTTCCTCCCCCCTAATTTTTAGGTCCTAAAAATAAACTGGAAAAGAGGGCAATTACTCAGGGAACCTCGGTTATGTCAGTGTGCAGTGCTATTGTTAAGCACACAGAAAAAGTGTGAGTTTTTTAACCTCATTAGTAGGATTTCGGGTTTTTATAACCCAGGGACTGGCAGCCACTCTGCAGCCCTCTCAGAGCAGAGTTTCTCTCTCTCACACACACACTAAAAATGTGAAACACCCACTTGCAATCAGAACAACCGTCAAACTGGAATTAAAATAATCTGTCTCCACAGTAATCAATTAAGTGCCCATGATTCATACAATTATCTACAAGAAAATACTATGAGAATTGGGTATAGATTATTCCTCTTTTCTTGATAGATACATTTTATTTCTACTGCCAAAGTGATCATGTGACTCTTCCACCCCCGGAATTTTCCCCAATTGGAAAAGACCCTCTGCAGATTATAAGGTGGGTCAAGCTGTGAGCTTTGGGGATGCATTCCCAGGACTTCCAGCCTAACTGCTAGAGTTATAGTGGTTAATAATACAGGCTTTCAATTGAAGCGATCTTCTATGTAGCCAGAATATGACAGCTTTTTAGTACACCCTTCCCTGAAACCATCAAACGCTTAGTCCAAACCACCATCAAATGCTTAGAGATCAGTGCAGCGGCCTGCCAACTAACCCCCCAGCCTCCGCCTGTGCCATGCACGCCATGTGGACTAATCTCAACACAGTAGCTCCTATGTTCCTCTGAAAATATAATTCAAATCGATTGATGACTATTCTACTCAAACCATCCGATGGCCATTTATCTCATTAAACCAAAAGTCCAAGTCCTTATAACGACTTCTCAGGCCCTAAATGAGCCCCTTTCCCCATTACCCTTTGGACCTCAAACCTCATCTCTGATGACCGTCCTCCAAGCCACCACTTTGGCTTCTGCAATATTCTTCAACTCTTTCCTTAAACATCAGCTTCTCAGTGAGGCCTTCCTTGATAACCCTACTTAAAAGTGCAACCACTTCTCTCCCCCACCTTCTTTCTCTTCTTTATTTGTTGTTGACTCTAGGAAATGCTCTAAAGAAAATTACCTGAATGACTTGATAGAGTAAGGACAAGAAATTATTTTAGGATCTGGTCAGGGGAAGCATTTCTGGAGAAGAGACATTTGAATCGAGACGTGAAAGAAGAGATGGAGCCAGACATGAAAAAAGACATGAAAAGAGAATCGTTCAGGCAGAAAGAACAGAAAATGCAAATAATCAATAAATTGGCCTCTTAAAGAAATAAAAAGAGATCAGTGTGGCTCAGGTGAGAACATGGAGAATGAAGGAATAAAGTGAGATTTGGAAAGAGAGACAGGGAGCAGATCAGGTAAGGTGTTTTATTTTTAAAGCAACAGGAAGCCACTTAAGGGTTTTAAACAGAAGAGCAATGTGGTCTGGTTTACATTTATATAAGGTTACTCTGATACCATGTGGATGATGGACTCTCGGAATCAGGTGTGGAAACAGGGATGTTGCTCAGGAGGCTACTGCAGCAGTCCAGGCAGCAGATAACGGCAGCTTTAAGTGGGAAGATAGCAGCGGAGATGTAGCAAAGTGGGAGATATTTTGGTGGTAAAGCCAAGAGGACTTGCTGATAAAGTAGATGTAGGGGGTCAAAAAAACAAAATAATCTAAGGTGACTCTTGGGTTTGGGGCCTGAGACACCAGGGAAATGGTGGGGCCTATCGTGATATGGCAACCACTGGAAAAGGGCAAGTTGGGTAAGTGGGTGGTGAGGCTGAGGGGGAGAATCAAGATTTTTCACTGATTAGTAGAAAATGGTTATGATGCTTTAGAAACAAAGGTCATGGCAAGGACATTTGTGACAACTAGTCAGCAACATGAACTGGGCAGAAAAAGGTATGTGTGTATCTTTTTCCAGGAAACCTCAAGAACTGCTGTTTGTCCAAAGGGCAGGGTCTGTAAATGGGAAATGGGATTGTTGAGAAGGTGGCATGGTGACTGATCTTGCAGGAGCTCTAATAGAGACCGAGGAATTTAGATGTTACTGGGCAGGCAACAGGAAGCCATTGAGAACTCCTGATGGGATAGGAGAGGGCTTTAGAAAGATGCGGTGGGTACTGGTGTAGAGTTCAGATGGGAAATCAAGAATTGGAGGTGGGGAGATTTGATGGCAATAATCCAGGCCAGAGAGGGAAGACATCAACCAGATAAAAGACAAGATAGTAGGTTTATATTTATTTTAATCTCTCCCCTACAATAGTGTTACTGCAAACTTGAAGTCAGGAATCCTGTGTCTTTCTAATGAGCCCCGCAACTGTCCACGGATAAGATAGCTTTTCTATCCTTTAGTAACTCTGTGTTCTAAAATGGCCGTTAGATGAAAAGGTGACAGAATAAGATAGGAAAAAATCATTTTTGCATCCGTGCATTGGTTTCTCCCTTGCAAAGCGTGGATGAAAATATAACACTTCTGGGAAGTGACATGTTCCCGCCACCCAGAGTTTTATTTTATGAGGTCCTGTTACATTAGCATCTGGGATGCCAGTCAAATGATGATTCAGGTTCTGTTAAAACACCAAAGCATAGTCTTCAACAAAAGAGCTGGGTCCATGAACGTCATCTATTCTCTAAGAGGACAAGCTCCTCGGAAGGGAGTCTCTGAAACAGCCAAAAAGAGCAGTCGTCAGTGCCCTGTCAATGGCCAATAAATGCACAGTGCACCATAGATCCTATGTATTTATTTTTAATTTCAAAATTATTTTCCTTTTACTGGGTACCAGGTCAGGAATGTGATATTTTCAGGGGAGTAGGTGTTCCAGAGACATCTATTCCCATTGCTTGAGCAAACATTACTTGACAAACTTTGTACATGCTGTTGTATGTCTTAGCTTGTCATACGGATAAGCAGCTCTTGAAACCACCTCCACCTACCATCCTACCTTTAAACCTCATGAACTTTTCGGATGGGTACAAGTTCGGTTTGCCAGGGCTTGCATACAGTTGGGCTCCAGGAGAAAGCTGGATTTGGCTCACCTACGTAGTCATTTTCAGCCCAGCTGGAGAACTTGGCCGTGGATGATGCACTTTCATTTGGCTCAGAGGGACTCCGACTCCAAGGTGCAATATGTTCCCCAGGAGCTGCCCTCGCCGTGTCTTCCTTCTTCTTCGTGAGCCACTGCCAGTTCCTGTGGGCATTTCCCCCCCTGCCCTATGGCTTCTTGTCCTCTGTGATTCCTCACTTTGCTTCTTATCTTCATATGCCAGATTTTACTTTTTGCTTTATCAGTGACTCCTGTCTTTCCTGAGATTTAATACCAAGTAGGTAGAATGCCTGTTTTTAGTTTGCTTGTTAGCTTGGGGCATTGCTGGCCTAACCAACATTGAACTGGAACCGCCCTTCCCCCAGGACACTGTCTTGGGCACTGTCAGTTAAGGTTACCCCCTTTTGTGGGAAACTCCATGTCCCAAGTATTCCAGATCTCCAGAGTTGCCTTGGCTCCTGTCTTTTCCAAGGCCTAATTATTTAGCTCTCTCCCCAATTCTGCGAGTTCTCCAAGATCCTGTCAATAAACTCCCCCTCTTAGTGAGAGTCATTCTGTATTCTGTGAAACTAGAGAACCATAACTAATACTCTGAATAACTTGGCTTCTTTAGGCATTTCAATTAAGGAAAGTTAAAACCAACTAGATACCCCTAACTAAGTCTACGCTCTGGGTCCTTGGAGTCTCCCGTGTATTTGTATTGTTTTCCAAAGCTGGAAGGCCACCCAGTTACCGTCAGAAGATAAATAGGGTGTTTTCTTCTTTCTCTTTTTAAAAAACATTCCACTGAAGTGTAAGTCTGGTGCATGAGGTCAATGGGTAGAGTACTTACTATCTTAGCAAAAAGAGTCTAGAACAATACTGCCAAAAAGAAA